TTGCTTATAAAACTGATAAGTGGGCTCTATTAAACTACCAAAAGCCTGCATTGAACATGATTGCCCCTCTCTACCAACACGATCCTACACGCTTCACCCTCGGATCCACGGATCGGGAGCGAGGAGGACTCTCGAGTTGTGGAGAGCAGGATACACTATAGAGATGAGGTTTTCAAGTTTTGGGTACATCTATAGCAGTACCGTTGGAGCCACATTTTTCCGCGGAAATCTAAATTTCTAGGATTAGGAGTGTAGTATAGGATAGCTACCAGGCTTTGCTCTAACAAGCCCTCAGTGCTACTATAGAATGCCCTCAGCTGTTGGGTAGCTCTAACAACCCCTGTGAAAATGTGTATCACATGTGGGCTGCCCGTAAAAATTGCTATTTTCACATACACTTAGTCCCATGAGGGGTCAGCTAACCATCAGCGAAAATACGTTTTGGCCATATGCAAAAACCGATTCTATAATAGTGCCTAACCTTATGAATATACTTAGTTTGTAGGGAAAATTTGAACCATGCCACACAAATTTTACAAAATTTGTGATATGCCACCCTGACCCACATGTCATTGACTCATGTGGGTCCTACATGTCATTGAGATACGGGTGGCATATCTCAAATTTTGTAAAATTAGGGTAAGAGTATACTTAGTTTGTAATACTCCATCTGGTCACAAAAGAATGTTGTAAGAGAGGCATCAACGCAAACGCGAATTCCTTTTAATTGACCTGTATTTTCCATTTCTTTAAATCTAAAATATTTGTAGAACCTAATAAAAAAAAGTTAAAGTAATGCTATGATGACAACTCTACCCACATCATTTTCATGTGCTCTGCATAATACTCTGTATTCCACTGTTTTGTGATCGACGGCGTATAGTAGGTTAGTTGAGACACTTTTAATTTTCCTATATCTCTCTGCATGGGAATTAAACCACAGAAGTTAATCGATCTTTTTCTTCAGTTTATGCATGGTTGGTGATAGCATGGTGGTCCTGTGTCTCCTCTCAATTGAGCTAGCCCTTTTGATGGCTGACAAACTGTCAACTGTTCAAGTCTATAGCTAGCTCAACCAACTCTACATCATGTGTCAAGTTATGTCCCTATGGAAAGAGTAGAAAAGATCAGTGCTAGAGATGACCACCCTGGTGCATACTAGACCGTTGATGATCATGCCAATGGGCAACTGTACTCAATTTATTTCACCACTAGAAATTAATTAACCTCTGTTAGATAGGGAAATTTGAAGGAGGATTACTTAGTTATGGCATTTTATACATTGCATGTATCCATGCCAGATCATGCTTTAACTTGGGTGGTTATGTATGTGTATGTTTTTATGCATGTAGAGACTTTGGCAGAGGGCATGTGAGCTACCCTGACTCAAGGCAGATTCATGAATGTCTGCATGATGATTATTAGTGTTAGTTGTATACAAGAGGGAGAGGTGGCAGAGAGCTAACTTGCTGCTGCTCAGGGGTGGCAGACACAAGGAAATAGTGCATGCATGCTTTGCACTGTGTTAGCTAGGCTGGCAAACTGATGAGCAATGCAAGCTGATCATATATATGATGTGCAGTGTAGACTGTAGTAGTAGCCTCAACTAACCAAACCAACCAACCGACTCAGGCTTTTTGTTATATATGTCGTGTGGACTGGGGAGTCATTCAATTGCTACAACATGATCGGGTTGTTTAGGTACTACCTCCCATCTAAAATATAAACAATTATATATTATTTACTAAAGACTAAACACATGTTTAGCAGAGCTTCAGCTTTAACTCCACTTGTAATACCCCATATATTAAAAGATATTTAGATTTTTTTAATTTGGGTTGATTTGTTAAAATAAAGATGTTAACAGAAATAAATAAAAGAAAAATATCTTTAGAATTGGGCCAACATGAGAAGGCCCATAAACCCAGCCCATTAGTTTTCTCCTAAAACCTAAAGAGAGGGGAACCGAATCCCACCTCCCCTCGTAGTACCACCACACCTCTCCCTGGCCGGCGCCTCCTTCCTCCCCTCCTCCTGTGTTCGCATCTCTCCCATCTACAACAAATTGCTCTCTGTAGATCTCCACCTTCATACCTTCGATCAAGAAGCGAGAAGGAGGAGAGGAGTAGAAGGAGGGGTTAGACCGGAGTCTCCCTATTGTCTCCTCACAAGTTCTCTAAAGAAACCCTAGGTGAGGCTTATCCCCTTGTTGTATCAGTTGTTCTAGCATGGCTTTAGTGCTTTAATTCGTGGTTCGGGAAGGCTAGAGAAGGAGTTTGGGTAGTTGCGGTTCGGTTTGTTGCAGTTCTGCATGTGGGCAGATTTGCAGTGCTTCAGTGTTTCGATGTTTCGGGGCTCTAAATGTTATTTTCTGTAAAAGTGTATAACTAGGAAGTTGTAGATAATGTTTGGATCTATCTTCTGACCAACGGGAGCGATTTTATCTCAAGTAGTTTAGGAGATATAATTTTTTTTAGTATGACTGTTGATTTTGTGTCATAATCTGGATAGTAGTAGATTGAATTTTTTTTGGAGGGGTTAAACAGTATAATCAGCAAGGCCGCCTATAGACAAAGTTGTAGAGGTTTTTCTTAGCTTTCCATATTGGTAAAGTACACCCTGATTGGGCGAGTAGAACTCCAGTTATGGTTGTTTTAGTGTGGACTGTCTGAAATTCTGGACAGATTCTGAAGCCTACTTTCAAGCGCAAATTAAACCATTTAAATAGAAGAATAAAAATATGCTTTCTACATCAAAGTTGTAGATATTGTTCTGTAGATTTTTAAAATGTATATATTTTCAGTCATAGCCTTTTCATATATCAAGATATAAAGGTTTGAAGCAGCAGTCTTGTGTATAGTCCAAGCGGCGTTCCTTGTTATTGAGTTTTGATGGGATGGGGCAGTAGGTTCACCTTTTTCATTGTTTTATACGCATGTTTGAATGTGTTTGCTGAGGTTTTGTTTGTGATTAGGTGGTGGTCCATCAGATTGTGCATGATACCAATCCTTCGTTGGAGGCAAGTGCATGGCGAACTAATTGTGTAATTCATGGATTGTCTACTCTATCTATTTATTCCTGATATATTTATACGTGATAAGTAACTGCTTATGTTCATATTATTGTTCACGCCATTTAGATTTCAAGTTGATCTTATGTGTACGATGTTATTCTTGTTTTAATATTCTGGATTCTGGTTATGCTTAAATAATTCAAGTTCCCTGCTTGCCATGGATGTGCAATATGGTTTCAATTTGGTTCTTTGAATCTGGTTTCAATTATTCAAGTACCATGCGCAGTCATAGGAGTGCAATTTGGTTCTTTATTCAAGTTCCTGTGGGTAAGCGCTGATCATGCTTACTTGGTTTTGCCGGCAAATACTAGGATGTATTCACTATTGTCCGGGATGGAAACTACTATTTCAATTCATGCCTGCCCGGGATGGAAACTACTATCTTCTTTGACTTGGTGTTTGAAAATATGTTTCCTATCAAAGAAAGAAAGCCTTTTGTTCATACTTTATTGCCAATGATGTGTATATGTGTTTTGTAGTTCTATATTGTACTTGCTGAGTATTTTTATATTCATTCTTGTGTTTTATTTGGTTTTAGGTACATATTGAGACCGACATGCATGGGCGGGAAGTAGCACCCTTATATACACATTTATCTGCACACTATCAAACTGTATTGCCTAGGTCCATGATGATACTTAACTATATCATGGTTTGGTCTTGTAATAATCTTTTAGATTTCTAATAGTTTATTCCCCATGGATTATAAGGATGGATCGCATTGTGGGAATGATATTGTTATTAGTTTAACTTATAATTGCTTGTCGTGGATGTCCGTATTTAAGGGGAGACTCTGCCGAAATTTCTAATAACTTTGGAAGTTAGTGGTTTGAGTGATTTTTTGGTGTAACACTCTAGGTACGTGGTTACCTGGGGTGTTACACCACTGGAGCACAACTAATACGTTTAAGCTTCACCCGAAAAGAGGGTAGAGCGGATCTGAAAAATGAATTAGAGTGTGGAACGGGATTCAGATTGCTCCATATAGCTCTGCTCAAGGCATCACTCTTATAGTTAGATTTAGATGTTGAGCCCTCTCAAACGGGCCATAAGGATAACGGAAAATTCCCTTTCAGTCACCGTGATCATTGGCTTAATTTTAAATTGCTATTCTCCTTCTAAGAAATTGATTAGCTAAAAGTACTTGGATTTACATTGTGGTTGGTGTTTCTTTTTTTAAAAAAAACAATCTTTTATAACTTTTATATACCAATTAAATTAACAGTATAAGTACTCCATATGTTAAGTCTTATGTACGTATTACTATTAAATTCATATTTAAAAATACTAACATACGGTGTTTATTTTATAATCACTGATAACAATATTCATAAACAATTTTTCCAGACGAGCCCATCTCCAACTTCTAGGCGGCGGACCATAATATCGTCTGCCCTGCGATAATATTTATTAAAAAGATACTTTAAAACAATTAACTAAAATCCACATTTTGATCATGTTCTGAAAAAGAACATATTTTGATCACTATTTTTAATTCCAGCAATAAATGTCCTTCTACTTACAACTGTCTATCATCTTTGAGAGTGCGGTACGGAACAAATTTTGATTTCTAGCCTAAAAAAAACAATATATTCCCTCCGTCCTAAAATATAAGCATTTTTATAATAGTAATAAGTCAACAATTTTTAACTTTGACTATTAATAGCAAAAAAAAATAAAAAAAATCAATCATGTAAAATTGATGTTACTAGATTTATCATTAAACAAAATGTAGCTATTTCTAACATAGTATCATGTTCCAAAATAAAAATATCTCTCCACATACCTCCTTTGGAATGGTGATTTGATTTATGCAACCATGTGATCGATTTTGGGCTAGCTAGTGATGCAATAAATATATGGGCCGACAGGTGTTGCTTTCCGGGCCCATGGCCCAAATCCTCTCTTGATTAGGCCCATCACACGACTCACCCCACAATCGAGATGAAACGGAGGAAGCCGCGGCGCGCCGTCGCTCGCCGGCGCCGCCACGGTCCGGGGGACGGACGTCGGCCGGCGCGCGCGCCCGTCATGCCTCCGCCCCAGGCGCCCCCGCGCGCGGCCTGCGTCTCCACTTCCAAGGGCTCTTGCCGGCTGCCCCTGTCGGCGGCGGGCGGTTGCCCTCGCCGTTCCCCTCGACCGGCGGCGATTTGTGGCGAAGAAGCTCCTGTCCAGGTGAACAGCAAGCATCCTTTCGGCCGGCGCCTTGGTCTATCTGTTGGTGTCCTGCCGCCGACGAAGAAAACCCAAGGTACTACTAGTACTTTTCTGTTCTGTTGGTGCTACATCAAAAAGATTTTTCATGTTTCCTCCATAATTATGTGTTCTTTTTTTTTTCTGCAATTTCTTATGTCCTCTACTTTGTGATCAATATGAGTATGGTTTGGTTTATCATGTTATCCTGAGTTACTGCTAGAATCGACTCTTTCGGTTAGAGTAGCATCTTTTGGAGCTAAAAAGATCAAAGACAAATGCAGTGCACAGCTCATTTACAAGACTGGTTCACTAGAAATATTCTACAGTTTATTACTTTGTATATGGGGAATAGTTGGCGCAGTTAAAGTGAAACCCTCTGCTTCCATTGCAAGTTTGGAACTGCTTCAGACAGCTTTTATGTTTTGTAGTTCACCAGCTATCGATAATATACAACATGTAGTAGTAGTACCCTTTTGGATAAAACATCGAACATGTTAAGCATTTCAAGACTTGTATCAAACATGCCTTTTCTTCATCTTTGTGTTGATCTCTAGCATTTGACAACATTCTAAATTCAGATAATATGTGAGCTGCATGCATGGTTTTTATTCAGCGTTGTAGGACCTGCAACACCTCCTTCATTGAAGGTCTTGATAATGGCTTTGCTCCTGTGCAAATTAGTCCTAGCTTGAACACTAATTGCACCTCCTGCAAGTAGGCTGGATCTTGTATGTCTCCATCAATTACATCAATTAATTGGAAGTCCTCATCTTGAAATCGCCTCCATGCCTATTGTGCCAAATTCTCATACCCACCCCCACCATTCGCAAACCTCCCTGTTGTCAGCTCCAAGAGAACCACCCCAAAACTGTAGACATCAACTTTCTCATTGATTTTTCTCGAGCTTCCAAACTCTTGAAAAAAAAAGGAGAATCAATTGAGTAAGGCCATCCTAGGGAGTTTACAATAAAGGAAAATCAGAAAATTTTACCTGGTGCCATGTATCCAAATGATCCGACCATTGTTGAGATGGACTCTGGCTCTCCGGCTTTAGCCAGCGCACGGGCTAAACCTAAATCTGCAATCTTTGCCTTGAACTCATAGTCCAATAGGATGTTGCTTGGCTTGACATCACAGTGAGCTATTGGTGGAGAACAATCATGGTGCATGTAGCAGAGCCCTCTTGCTGCGTCTATGGCAATTGACATCCTTCTTGGCCAACTTAATGGTTCATTGTTATTACGCATATCTTTCTGATGCAACCATTGGTATAAGCTACCATTTTCCATATACTCATAGATCAGCACTTTTGATTCAGTGGATGACATAGAACTAAGCAACCTGACAACATTGGCATGCCGGATGGACCCAAGAATCTCAACCTCAGCTTGAAAATGCTTTTCCAGCATATTGGACCGGCTCCGATCACTAACTATCTTCTTGGCAGCCACAAACCTGTAACTGTTGTTATGAAGGCATATCTTGTATACCTTTCCTGAACCACCACTCCCGATTAGATTGTTATCAGCCAGACCACAGATAATGTCTTGGTAATTAAAATTGATGTTATGAAATGCTGTCAATTTCCACCGCGGTGTTGTAGTATTTTCGTTTTGTCTTCTGGGTAACACTTTTATCCTTAGTAATCCAAACAACCATATCAGTAAAACACTAGTAAGACCAAGGGCAAGGAAAATGATCAAAAGTCTGTTCTTCAAGTGTCGTTCATTGCATACTGGATAGTCTGCAAAGTGGTTGGACGAGCACAGCCCAAGATTGGACAGGAAACTCTGTTTAAATTTTTCATTCTGCAAGAGAAGCGGAATCTGGCCAGAAAATTGGTTATCAGAGAGATTTAGAAAAGTTAGGTTCATAAATTCAATTTCTGGTATAATAGGGCCAGAGAATCTGTTTTCTGAAAGATCTAGGACTCCAAGTGACTTTAGCCACCTAATTGTGTTTGGGAGTCTACCTGAGAATTTGTTATTGCTAAGGTCAATTTCTACCAGATTTGATGCCCAGTTGCTAGGCAATCTGCCAGATAAGTTAACCTCTTGGATCTGTACCTCGGTTAAGCCAGCTGGAAACGTTCCTGAGAAATTATTATTGGAAAGCCAGACATAATTCAAACTGTTACATCTTAAGAGAGATGCTGGAAGCTCACCGGAAAACATGTTGGCTGACATAGAGATATAAGCAAGGGCCCCCTTAGAGCAAAGACCCTCGGGTAACGTTCCAGAGAAATTGTTATAATGGGTTTCCAAATTAAAGAGTAAAGAATGCTTCCCCAGTTCTTGTGGCAGGATGCCTTCGAAGGAGTTTTGGAAAAGCTGCACATTAGTAAGTTTTGGGAGCAAGGCAACGCTATCGGGGATTGAACCAGTGAAATGATTGTTGGACAAAAACAGTCTTTCTAGTTCCTCAAGCTGACCGATATCCTCTGGGATCTGTCCTGAGAGGTTATTCGATGAAACATCAATCTCAACCAAATTTGTTGATTCAATTGGCGCATTAATCTGGCCAGACAGGTGGTTTGCATATAGTTGGAGGGTCACCAGCCTCTTTAGACTCCAAATCCAACTAGGAATCGACCCACTGAGGTGGTTGCCAGATAAATCAAAGAACATTACATTGTTAGCCTTTGACATAGCAGCTGGAATTTTGCCAATGATATTCATTTTACTCATGGATAAGTATTCCAGGTTTGTTAGATTTCCAAACTGTGGATAGATTGGCCCAGAAAGAAATGGATTGTCACCTAGGCGCAGAACTCGAAGTGCTGAAATATTCCCAATTTCTGCTGGGTAGGAGCCGTTAAATTGGTTTGCATCAAGGTATAGATTAGTAAGCACTTTAAGCTGGCCGATTGAACTAGGGATGTTCCCTGATAAACTATTCGATGCAAGGTTGAGATACACAAGCCTTGGTGATAGCCGATCGATGTTGGATGGGAGAGAATTAACTAAAGTGTTATATGAGAGGTCTAGATACCGAAGGTTTGAACAATTGTAAAGAGCTGTAGGGAAAGAACCTGAAATGCTGTTGCGAGAGAGATCGATGTGTGAAAGTTTCGTCAATGAACAGATAGCCGCTGGTAAGTTGTTGAGTCCATGGCCAGTAAGTGAGATTCCTGTAACAAAGCCATCTGTGCAATTGATACCTGGCCAATTACATTGATCTTCGTATATGACAGAGCTCCAATTCACGGTCACCGAACCTCCCCAGCTTCTTTCAAGGCTTAGGAGGACGGCCTTCTCATCATCCCTAGTGATTGTTTCACAATTGGAATGGAGGAACAAGCAGGTGAAGAGAAGCAGAGATTGTGCTAGGAGGATAGTATGAACAAGGTGGGGATTGTCCATGGCAGCCACCTTGCCCATGTCGTTAGGCAGTCAAGCTCTACTTATATGAAAAGAGAAAGCAGGTCATATTCGATCCATTAATTTATGACTTCCTGGTAGAAAATGTTGCCAGATTGGCTGGAAGGACTGGTTCAATAATACAGCACAGACTTTTCCATTGACTAGGACTCTTATTGCCTGCACGCCTTATTCTTTCTGACCTTTTAAGTATTTGAATGATTTGTCTATTCTGTGATGATCTGTATCTTTTTGTAGCTTCTGTCACACAGGATTTCCTTTTGATGAACTTGTACAGCGCTTCTGTCTTGTTAAGGCACCTAATTTAGTCCTATGGTTCTTGGAGTATGTCTGACGTCATTCTTGACCTTGTTTATGCTTGAAAATATATGGTTGTTTTATAATAAAAAAACTTGTATTTTTAATCCAAAAGGTGCTGAAATACTTGATATATGCTGCTACCTTTAAGCTTTTGCCATGTTTGAATGCATTCAAGCAGATCACTGTGTCCTCAACTAAGAGCTACCTTCCTGTGCTTGAGATCTTAAAGATTCCCCTTCATATTACGCAGTAAGTTGGTATGTTGCAATTCATTATTCATTGAAATAGCCAGGGTTTACTGTCTTACGGATCTCCTGATTGACTTTGTTAACCACTCTCTGTTTCTTGGAAGGTGTAACTAAATGCAGCTGCATCGTGCGCCACTCTTCCGATTTGTAGCTCCAGAATACAAAAGAGGGGCGTTATTGGATCTCAAGACTTGCCTCACCTGGTAACTATAATCACATTCCCTCCAACACTTTCTTAAAAAGGTTGAGAAGATATCCTAAGATTGAGTATTTACTGAGTTTATATTGAATGTGGCGAAGGTTTGAACGATGGCAAAGAACTGTAGAAAAAGAACCTACTTGCTCGTTTTAAGTTATAAGTTGTTTTGACTTTGGTCAAAGTCAAAATACTTTAAATTTAACCAAGTTTGTAGAAAAAATAGTAACATTTTCAAGCTAAAGCAAATTTATTATGAAAATATATTTAATTATTGATTTGATGAAACTAATTTGATATTATAAATATTACTATATTTATCTATAAACTTAGTTAAACTCGAAGCAGACAACTTATAACCTGAAACGCTGAAACGGAGGGAGTAATATACTGTTGTGAGAGAGATCGATGAGTTAATTATGTGCAGTACGTGGCACTCAAAGAAGACTTGCAGCCTAGTCAAGGTCTACTTACACTTTATTTTTTTTAGTGGAAGGTCTACTTACACTCGGGTGCTTCCTTTCTGCTGGCCCATTACACTCGAGTGCTTGCTTTCTGCCGGCCCATTACACTCGAGTGGTCGATCTCCGTGGCCCATTAAAAAAGGAGACCGTTGGTTGATTTCTGACAAAACAAAAAGTCCTTTTCGTTTCCCTCAACTATGGGTTAAGTTTCATCTGTGTTCCTCAACTATGAAAGCGGGTATGAATGTTCCCCTCAACTTATAAAACTAGTACAAATCGAGTCTTTCGGTAGTATTGAGAATGGTTTTGGCTAACGTGACACCTACATGGCTTCTCCACTTGGTTTTGTCCCATGTGGCACTAGAAGAAAAAAAACCAATGGGACTCATATGTTAATATTATATTACCGTATAGTTCACCAACTGCAGTCCTACACTTACATACTTCATTCATCAAATCGAGCGACACGTTATATCCGCATGCAAACGGACGTGTCTGATCGCTCCCTCACGGAACCCTCTCGACCCCTCCCTCTTACTATCCCCATGCCAATCCCCTTACTTCCGTTGTCCCTTCACACTGATCCCTCGAAACCCTTGGCATCTTTCTCTCTCCAACACTTCAGCTCCTACAAACACTATGATGCCACCAGACATCCCAGATCACACCTATTCCAAACCACTCAAGTTTTCTGTCTGCCACACAGGCTGACTCTGGAAACAATTCCCATCCCACAAACCAATTTCACAAAGCATTTACAAACAACACTACACTAAGAGAATCACCTCACATTCACCCTTGACCGTGGGCACAGTTGTTCGAACATTTTAAACTCTGCAGAGGTTGTACGCTTTACCCACACGACACGAAACTGACACCGGTCACCCCTCGGCACCGAAAGTTCATTGCAAGGTCCTTCCAAAGCTAGTTCACCAAAATCCCATGCCACATAGTCGGTCGAGTCGCATGACAAGCATCATGCAAGCCCAGCCATCGTCTACTCAGGGTACACTAGGGATGCTCGTACACCTATCGGTACCGCATCGCCACAATAGAGGCAGGCCCACATACGGCCAAAGATCTTATTACACACAACTTCGTCTCCTCATCCCCTCTGTCCCACTACAACTGGCTTACAAGATAATCATGGACTAACTAAGTACTTTTCCAGGGGTATCCCACAATACTCGTGTGGTCGCACTATAAGTTGCTCGGATGGAATTTCCAAAGGAATCAGTCCTTAACGACAATATATAGCCAACCACACAGGCTCAGCCTACATATCATCAGGGTTCGCAAACTAGCTTTATTTCACAGATACACCGACACTAAACATTAGGTTTTGAATAGTTGATTGGAAGTCCATGTTTACCACACGACAATACAATCGCAGCAGGGCTAAGCAAAACTAACTCGACGATCATACCGGTAGGGTAAGACATCGGCACGTTATTTGTGGAGCTATCTAGGACATGTTATTCAATACCCTACATAATAGAAATGCGACTAATAGGTAGGTCCATCGGATGAGTTCGCAAACCGAGGCCAAATTGTTTAGCGTGTAACCTAGGCATGCATATTTACAAACAACATAATTTTGCACATATAGGGGGAAATATAGTCAAAGGTGGCTTGCCTTGGTCCTGCAGTGGTTCTTCCTCGTCAAGAACAACTTCTGGAACGTCCTCAGGATCGGCAACTATGCGCGCAAAGGAGAAAATCAACATGAAAGCTAGTAAATTAGCTAAAACATAGCAAAATAGAGGTGACATTAGATAGATCTCATTTTTAGAAAAATTATGGAAGTTGAACGGAGTCAATCGAAGTTATGGTTTGCAAGATATGGATTTTTGAAGTTTAAATGATTTTATAATAAAAGGAAAAGGAGTTTCTTTAATTGCAAAGGAATATTGCTTGCGGAGCCCGCTGTTAGCGGCCGAGAGGAGTCGGCGCACGGTAAACCAGGTCTACCGAGTGCGTGGTGCGGCGAGGTGGCAGACCCAGCCCACGGTCCATAGCTAGCGTGTGTGGGACCCGGCGGCCAGAGACCGTGTGCGCATGGACTGGGTGCGCGGATGGATGGATTGGGTGGGGCCCACATGTAATCAACTCATGGATTAAGGAGAGGTTTAATTAGAAAATTAGTATAATGGGGCCCACGTGTCATGACAATAGAGGGGGATTATGAGGGTGATTATTGTGCAAATATGATTAAGGAGTGTTGGGTCTGACATGTCAGTGTCTCACGGCCTCCTCTTCTCTTCTCTCTCTATTTCCCCTTCTCTCACTCTCAATTCCCCTTTCTCCGTCCCACCAAGGCCAAGACAGAGATGGCGCGGGGTGGCGGTCGGCACGGCGACGGCGGCCAGCATGGGGCGGCGGTCGGCGTGGGGACGGAGGAGGGCGGCGAGGTGGAGGAGGTCGTCGCGGGCCTGGCAAACTCCAAAATCTAATCAGTTCGTGATCAGAATCGCAACTACCTGGCTCCTATCGGTGATTCATGTAAGTATACAGAAGAGTTTCGGAAAAGCGGCGTTCACGTGAACCCTTTTCCGCGAACGTTCGTGCAATAGCTTTTTCGGCTGGAGATGGGCTGGACTTGAGAAGGGTGAGCTGTGCAGTGAATAATAATAGAGCAAGAACATTCCTATGTATATAGGCAGTAGGCAGTGATTTGATTACTATTCCAAAATGAAAATTTTAGGAGAGAAAATTAAATCTAATCCAAAATTAAAAGATTTGATAATGCCTTGCAACATATGAGTAATCCTAAAATTTAGTCCAATGTACCATTTACTCTTATCGGTATGATCTACCTCCACCATCTCATTCTTTGTTGGAATGCTATTTGTACCTTATTATCTATACTCCTTTCAAAAAACTTCAATAGTGGTGGTAGAGAATCTGCCACCCCACCTACTCCTATTATAATTTTTACATATTACCCATTGAACTTGTTAATATTACATGACAACTAATGAATGGATAGAAACATATAAAATCAATGAATGGATAGTCATATATAAAATTAATGTGGATAGAGAAATATGGATAACGTATTTCATGAAAAATATAATTTATTTATTTTAAAAAATTGTGATATTTTTTCTTTATTTGTAGGAAAGCACGAACATTTAGCTAGTTTGTTCGGAAGGTGGAGTTGACTCAGCTCTTTGCACGGAAAATAGAGCGGTCTATTAACACGTGATTAATTAAGTATTAGCTAACTTATTTTATGAAAAATAGATTAATATGATTTTTTAAAGCAATTTTTTTTAAAAAAAACGTGCAGTTTAGTAGATTGAAAAAGCAAAACAAGGCAGGCAGAGGAGTTGGGATGCACGATAACACTGTCTAAGATAGCTAGCTTAAGAGTAAGTGCTCGCCGCCGTGGCTAACACTCCACCCTGCCATGAGTGGTGGGCCCTCACCAGCGACTGCTCCACTTCATTTCAAGTCACGCACTCACACACACGTACCGATTATAACTGCCGAGCCGAACAACTTTTGCCTCGATCAGGCCGCCATTTGCAAGGGAACAATGTCGAACACTTGCCTCCTCCCAGTTGTAATCGGCGGCGTCCTCCTCCTCTCCGCCGGCGAATGCAGCTCCCAGCTCGCCTCCGGCGACCGCGACACGCTCGTGGCTATCAGGAAAGGGTGGGGGAACCCCCGCCGCCTTGCGTCGTGGGATCCCGACTCCGCCAGCGACCACTGTAGCTGGGATGGGGTGACGTGCTCTGACGGCGGCGGCGGTGGGGGGGTGGTGACGGAGCTATCCTTGTCTGACATGAAGCTCACCTGGACGCTGCCCGCGGCGATGTGCGACTTCGTGAACCTGACTCGGCTCGACCTCTCCAACACCGGCCTCCCCGGCACCTTCCCCGGCGCGACGCTCTACCGATGCTCCCAGCTCCGGTTCCTCGACCTCGCCAACAACACCCTCCACGGCGCCCTCCCGCGTGACATCGGCAACCTGTCCCCGGTGATGGAGCACCTCAACCTGTCGTGGAACAGCTTCTCCGGCGCCGTGCCGCCCGGGGTGGCGGCGCTCCCGGCGCTCAAGTCGCTGCACCTCAACAGCAACCGGTTCACAGGGGTGTACCCGGCGGCCGAGATAGGCAAGCTCGCCGGCCTCGAGTGCCTCACGCTGGCCGACAACGCGTTCGCGCCGGCGCCCGTGCCGGTGGCGTTCGCCAAGCTGACCAAGCTCACCTATCTTTGGATGTCAGATATGAGCATCATCGGCGAGATTCCGGAGGCGCTCTCCAGCCTCACTGAGCTTACGCTGCTCGACCTGTCTTCGAACAACCTCACCGGTGCAATTCCGGCCTGGGTGTGGCGGCATGAGAAGCTCGAGTGCCTCTACCTGTTCAACAACAGCCTCACGGGCGAGCTGCCACGCAACGTCATGACGGAGAATCTGATTGAGATCGTCTTGTCTATGAACCAGCTCAGAGGAGAAATGTCGGAGGATTTTGGTAACCTCAGGAACCTCACTTTGCTTTCTCTTTACATGAACAACCTCACCGGCACGATCCCGGCGAGCATTGGGCTGCTTCCCAAGCTCAGCACCATCTGGCTGGATAACAACAATCTCTTCGGCGAGCTGCCACCAGAACTCGGGAAGCACTCACCGCTCAGCAGCATCGGTATCTCCAACAACAACCTCTCCGGTCCGCTCCCGGAAACGCTATGCGCCAACGGGGAGCTCTACGGCATTTACGCCTCCAACAACAACTTCTCTCGCAATCTCCCGGCTAATCTCGGGGACTGTGTTCTGCTGCAGGAACTCGTGCTCGACAACAACCGATTCTCCGGCGACTTCCCGGAGAAGATATGGCTGCTCCCAGAGCTAGAAATTGTAATGATACCGAACAACTTCACCGGAGTCCTGCCAGCCGTGCTATCGTCCAATATCCAGCACATTGAGATGGGGAACAACATGTTCTCCGGCTCTATCCCGAGGACAGCGATCGGTCTGCTTGTTTTCACGGCGGAGAACAACCAGCTGGACGGTGAGCTCCCGGCCGACATGAGCAAGCTCGCCAACCTAATTGAATTGAAAGTGCCTGATAATCGTATAACTGGTCCGATACCTGCATCCATCAAGCTGTTGCTGAACCTAAAAAGTCTTAACTTGTCTGGTAACCAACTGATTGGTGCCATATCTTAATGTTCCTATCTCTCTCTGTGCAGTTTGCAGTTGTGTCACTGATATATGAGCCATAGCAAAGTGGGTCCACATGTTAGTGACGCAACTGCAAAATGTATAAAGTCAGAGGATCCACTTCCGAGTCCGGATTTATACTTTGTATGCTAGGTCATCAACCAGCGCAATATATATGATCATTATGTTTTCAATTTTTTCTCAAGCTTCCAAATGATTGTACTATCAAATCTATTATATTATTAAAGGAATAGAAAAAGGAGCCTCCACGTTCGCTGTCATGGCCTAGAAATTCTCACATGAATCGGAGAAAAAGAAAAAGCAGAGTCCATATAGAAATAAAATTTAGAAATAGCTGAAATTCGAAATTAAAAAAATAAGGAATATTAGAAGGAGACTAGAGTCCATATAGAAATATAATTTAGAAATAGTTGAAATTCGGAATTTAAAAATAAGGAATATTAGAAGAGGAGACTAGAGTCCATATAGAAATATAATTAGGAAATAACTAAAATTCAAAATTAAAAATAAGGAATATTAGAAGTAGAGTATAGAGTCTATATAGAAATACAATTAGAAAATAGCTGAAATTAGGAATTAAAAATAAGAAATATTAGAAGTAGATTATAGAGTACATATAGAAATACAGTTATGAAATAATTGAAATTCAGATTAAAAATAAGGAATATTAGAAGTAGAGTATAGAGTCTATATAGAAATACAATTAAGAAAAAAAATAGAAATTCGGAATTAAAAATAAAAAATATTGGAAGCAGAGTATAGAGTCCATATAGGAATTTAAAACTAACTAAAATTTGGAATAAACATAATAAAATTAAAAGTAGAGTTTAGAGTCCATATAAAAATACAATTTACAAATAACTAAAATTCGAAATTAAGAAAAAACATGGGAAGAAGAAGTTAAGGTCAATATAGGAATACAATTTAGAAGTAACTGAATTGAAAAATTAAAAATTAAAATAAATTCTGAAATTCAAAATTAAAAATTAAAGAATATTGAAAGATGTGTTTAGAGTCCACATAGAAATACAATTAGAAATAATAAAATTCAGAAATAAAAAAAATAATATTGGAAGAACAATATAGAGTTTATAAAGAAATACAATTTATAAAAAAAATCAGAATTAGAAAAAAAGAAATATTAAAAGATGAGTCTAGAGTCCATATAGGAATATATATAATTTACAAATAACTAAAATTTGATATTAAAAATAATTAATAACTAATACGTATATAAAATATAATATGGATATTACACATTAGTATTAGTAGTTTTAATATATTTGAATAATATAATGAGAAAACATATGCTATTATATGAGAGAAAATATAATGATGCTAGCCACGCAATCTGCGCGGGCCACCATGCTAGTTCAAAATAATAAAAACACAAGTTAATTTTCACTTCGAGCCATGCCTCCTAAGGCTCCGATCATAGCTGAGATACTCTGGACTCTAGCTTTCGCGAGTGGATGGACTCAAAGTCGGCCATGTGTAATTCTAAAAAAAAAAAAAAAAGTCGGCCATCTTTACTTTGAACTCAAAGTCCAATCCCGATGAGGTTATTGTCTGTTAGTCCATGAATATTGTTATTTAGTCCCACGTGGCAGAGTCCAACTAAAGCAACTATTCAGTTAAGAAGCTTATTAAGAAGGACGACGGTGCGTTGCAACGAGAAGAAAACACGCGAGAAATTGAGGAATGGTGGAGAAAGATTTACATTATCTAATTAATTGAAATAAAAACATTCCATTTCCGGAATATTAGGGTTTTTTTAAGTAGGTAGATATATAATTAAATTAGTTTACAAGTAAAGTAAGTGTGAGAAATAAAATAACATGGTTAGATTTAACTTTTATTAAATTCTTCGTATTAATTACACTCTTTGAAATTTTCTTGAAATTTCTAGAGCTTAATAGCTAATTTTCATAATACAAACATTATTCCAGCATTTATTTAAAGAAAAATCCTCCTTTCTCTACATGCCATTTTCAGCCCATTTTCTTCTTCAGCCCGCAACAGAGCCGGCCCGCTTTCCTCAGGCCACAAGCAAGCGTTCGGCCCAGGAAGCAACCAATGTCTAATTGACCTCCCCCTACTCCTCTTCTCACTTACCGTTTGGGCCGTAATCGAAAATCTAACCATGTTTTGTGTTGGACCGCTGGCCAGCGCATGGCCAAGCAATGCTGCAGTCCGACGATGGAGGTCGGCCCGATGCTCGATTGATCTAAGCCGTTCGTTTTGATAGACGGCTCAGATCAGTTCTGAATCAATCAGAACCCTAGTGCCAAAAAAAACCCTAACCTTATATTCATTCCCACCACCCCCCTCACCACCGGCCGCCTCACCCCACCGGCGGCGCCTCTACCCCTCCCCTCCCCTAACCTACCCCCACCAGCAGCGGCGCTCCCTCTTCCCCTCTCCCGCCCGTCTCGCCGGCACGGCTGTTACTGTGAAAACACGGCCACCTGGGAGATCTGCTTAACTCCAGTGTAAGTCTAAGGCTTGCCTCGAGTTTGTTAAGGGCGTGCCAGCTGGTTTGATCCTGCAACCAGCAAGGAAACAACAAATAGAATCAGTCAGCTGATAGCCGATCGGCCGATAGGCCGATAGCAGATCGTTGGTGGTCTCAGCTGATGGAGTTAGACCAAATCGGCTATAGACTGAATAGATCAAAGAATATAAAACCCTAAATATGCCTCATCGGCTGTAATATTGTCTATCAGGATTGATAAAGAGGTTTAAGACAATATTATGAAAATAGCCGATGCAACAGTATTTAGAGCAAGAAAGCTAATGTACTAACTAATACTCTAGTACAGACTTATACAAGCAGATCAGTCTATATAAATATATTGAACTATGATCGGTTAGTAGTTTAGATAGCCCAGCCGATACCAATATAACTATCTAGGGTGATCTGTCTATATAAGTGGCAAATATAAATGAAACAAATAAAGAAACATGTATATTAGGTAAGATCGCCTGCTCTATCTATGCCTTTTGTTCTTCAGACAGATCTTCAATCTTGGCGGGTATGACGTTGTCTTTAACAATGTCAGTTATTGACGGTGATGACATGGTTGAATAATGAAACTCGGTCCTATCGGGCGTGCCAAAAGCATGTTGATGTGAAAACATGACGGCTTGGGAGATCTGCTTAACTCCAGTGCGGGTCCAAGGCTAGGGTTGAGTGTGTTAAGGGCGTGCCAGCTGATTTGATCGTGCAATCAGCAAGAAAGAATGAAAGTAGAATTAGTCGACCGATAGCCGATCGGCCGATAGGCTGATAGTGTATCGTTGGTGGTCTCAGCCGATGGAGTTAGACCAAATCGGCTATGGACTAGATATATCAAAGAATAATAAACCCTAAACATGCGTAATCGGTTGTAATATTGTCTATCAAGTTTAATAGATTGGTTTAAGACAATATTCTGAAAGTAGCAGATGTGACAGTGTTTATAGCTGGAAAGATAATGTACTAGCTAATACTCTAGTACAAACCTAAATAAACAGATTGATCCATATAAACATATCAAACAGAAATCAGGCATGATGGTGTAGGAATCTAGCCGATACTGACTAAAGCTTGATATGCTTATATAAAACGATCTATCTAAATAAGTGGTGAATGAAACAGGGAGTAAACACATGCATATTAGGTAAGATCGGTTAAAACCCGATTACTATCCTTATTATGTCTAATTGTAGGCTAGTTTGCATGGTTCTAAGCATGACTAGGGATGATACATCTCAAAATGACATTACTAAAATTATGTTGAATGTATTTTCATGTATCATGTGTTTTCTCTATTCATATATTATTAGAAAATTAAAGATCAAATATATTTTTATACCATGTCGATGTCCTTTATCTTCTACTTAGGCTTCGTTCTATCTAGCTCATTGGTTGAGCTTGTCTAGGGCACATCAAATCATGTAGGTCATTAGCGTAAAATTAATCCAGTATTAAATATTACATACTTGAAGATGGATTTATTTGATTTAAAAACTTTTATATCAAAAATGAATCATATGAAACTTTATATAGATTGATTAATTATCAAATATTCTAAACTTGAAAATATGCACCATGCATTTAGCAATTTGACAAACGTGCTCACGAATAAAAAAAGGAAGTAGCCAATATGATAAGCACTTTAAAACTTAATCTTAAATTTATTACTTATGTATAAAATGCTTAAAATATAGTATATAATATACTTGGTCAATCAGGAATAACCTAATATATGAATTGGTCTTGAATCGATCATTTCATTAGCCCCCTCCTTTTTATTAGCATGTCCTAAATTTAACTTCAAAAGCTGGGTCTAAAGTAAAGTTGCGGAGCGGGTGTGACATCCTGGTCCAATTAGGATGAGACCATGTGAGCTGTGTGTGCTTGTTTATACCACATTGCTAGTTTAACAAGAGTAGAGCCAACTTATAAGGCCTCTTCACTCCAACCATACCACTTCTGGGTTAACCCTTTTACACGAAGTGAGGACGAAAGTATAAGTGGAGTGATATATGTAAGTGGGCCTACCCGTCGGATGGGCTGACTACGCGGTTCTGGAGGGAGGTCTGTTACAAATTAAATGGTATTAGAGCCGACCCTCGCGGTTGCGCATAACAGTCAATGTGCAGGCATATGGTGCATGCACTGGACGTACAGACGTGCGCTAATGGGGGGGTGTTCCTGGACATTTGCCTATATGCCTATGTGACTACATGGGTAAGTTGAACCGATGGGGACGTCGGGTCCTTGAAGTGCCTATATGCCTATGTGACTACATGGGTAAGTTGGACTGATGGAGACGTCAGGTCCTTGGAGGGGGGGTGTATGTGACATCCTGGCCCTTGCTAGTTTAGCAAGAGTGGAGCCAACTTATAAGACCTCTTTCCTCCAACCATACTACTCCCGGGTTAACCCTTTTATATGAAGCGAGGATGAAAATGTAAGTGGAGTGATACGTGTAAGTGGGCCCGCCCGTCGGATGGGCTGGCTACGCGGTTCTGGAGGGATATAAGGCCTCTTCCCTCCAACCATACCACTCATGGGTTAACCCTTTTACACGAAGCGATGACGAAAATGTAAGTGGAGTGATACGTGTAAGTGGGCCTGTCCGTCGGATGGGCTGGCTACGCAATTCTGGAGGGAGAGCTGTTACAGTAGCGAAAACACAGCTCCACCTCCCACGTCATTTTGTGAGAGTATTTCAGCCAGTTTCACTCTCTTAGGGCAATA